ATTCGGGCTGGCACGATGCATCCTTTGAGTAGTAACCGCGCAAACACGATAGCGAGGCTCGCGCTGACTGCACGGTTACTATTCCAATATGGCGTCGGACTCGGTTACTATTCCAACATGGCGTCGGCCTCGGGCGCTCTCGTTCGGGCCGACTAATTACGAACAGTGTCTACACCTGAGTGAGTGAGTGAGTGAGTGAATGAGTGACACATTTGCATATCGGAGTCCCCGCAAGAAACCCGTTTTTACGCTTCGCGTATCCACGAGTTTAGAAAAGCCACAAGTCACACGGGATGAGATTATTCAGCGGTACGTATCCGTTAAGTTTCCCATAAAAGCTGCAAAATTTCAAATATGAACGTCGAGATTTTACGCATTATATTCATGAAGATTACGTAACAACAACAATTTTTACCTTAATGGCTTGCTAGTGCTGGTGGCACCAAATTTCGAAACCGACAGAAGAAACGTAAAAAGAACAACTGAATGTTTTCTGAAGAGTTTTTATACGTCTGTGAGGAAGAAAGATGGCACGTCAGTTTACAAAAGTTTATCAATGAACTCTATCTGAGAGCCGCCATAGATCGTTTCCTTCGCTCGCCGCCGCTCAACAAACTGTTTTCCATTATCTCTGACCCCGCTTTTACTGAAGCAAAAAAAGTATTAGGACATTAATTTTCAAAGACCTCAGGTTAGGCAACATTCCGGTAAACATTCCTGCATTCCTTCCAATATTTTGTCATAAAATCTAAAACATATTTATATTGCTGGTAGCTAATAAAGACACTTACCGTGAATTTAGAAGCACTTTTTGGGCTTACGTAATAGACGCCGTCTCTGTTTGCCTGTTCTCCGTTCGTCTTCTCACAAACTACAGCCAAAACAAGAGGGAAAAAAAACTGCAGTTTCATAAAAAGGCGCTCATCTATGCAATGCTTCTGAATTGCCTGTAGTCCAGGCGCTGCTATTTCTTCGAGAGAGTTTTTGGAGGTCCAGAGGATAATGAGAGAGGCGAAAAATTAAGCATATATTCGGTTGTGTCCTGGTGTACCGGTACACTGAGGGAATAACCATTGCACTGCCTTCCATTACTAGCCTTTGTTTAGCTGTTGTATATTGTTTGGTCTTTTGTATTGGATCTTCTGTACCGGTACACGAGGACTGAACCATTTATTCCTTTCATCCTTTTCGGCCTTGGTCTCTCGCGCCTACTCGACAACAAATCCTGTATGGTTATTAGCTGTGAGCTATTTATGGAACTAACAGGTACACAATGAAGGTTCTTGAAAAGTTAATGAATGGAAAAAGCTGGGTAGTAAAATTTATGGGTAAGAGAGAATAATAAAGACAATAGCCTTCATTTGGGGCGAAAATAAGCTGGTATATTTGTCATTGGACGTCATCTGTTCGTCGATGCTCACAGTTTTCCTCGAGCCACGCGCTCGGAAAACTTTTCGCTTCTCGGAACAGATAATGTCCGCGGACAAATATCCTAGCTTATTTTCGCGTCAAATGGACGCTATTGTTTATATAAACTGCATATCTAAAAACCGCAACTTGTTAGTCAGAAAACACTCACGGTGCACATATTACCTGTCTCTAACGTATTAATACCCAGGACCGTCATTGTGCGCGTGGATCCAAGTTTGTTTGTGGCTGTGCACATGTAAGTTCCAGTGTCCTCAGGTCTAAAGTCCTGAATGGATAATTTTCCGTTACTGACACTGCTCCGTCCCTTGAGTAAGGCGAAAACAGGGCGATGCCACTGAATAACAGGTTTTGGAACACCAAAAGCTTCACAGATGAGTTTAGCTGTTGCTCCTTCGTTAAACGTTTCCAAACGATATGGTATTTTAGACAAATTTGGAGGAACTGAAACCCGGGAGGAATGGAATCATAAATTTAACTAAGGAAATTAAATCCCTAAAGACATTTAAAGCTGCTGTGAAACAACGGCTTCATAGCCTTAGTATCATGTCATTTTGGTAGCGTCCTTTATACTGTCTAGCGCACACTTTTCCATCTCTTTCTATCATTAATTATTCTTATAGAATTAATAGTTTCCGAAAAACCTTTGAGAGGATGACTCTATGAAAGTTTCAAGTTAAAGTTAAATTAAAACTAACGTCATAATAAGCGAGAAAATCTATTAGATGAAGAAATACTACGGGTGCGTCATATTCATTTAAGGAAGACAAAATGTTTTAATGCGTTTAACAGGGTCTTTGTGGGGGTCCAGGGATCTCAGTTACCAGTTAAATTTTCAATGATTTATTTTCTCCGTAGCAACCAATTAAAATGAAAGCTCATTTCTCAGCTTTGTCAAACCTTATTTTCCAGTTAAAAAGCGCGTCATTTCTTAGTTGACAGTAACATGTCTTTTCCCTCATTTTCTCTTGGTTTTACCTGTTCCCAGCTATCAATTTGATCTTAAGGGAGCTTTGTTGCATTCACATAAAAATATTTTGAAATTGAACGAAATTTTATTCGTTTACCTACGGTGGAACAACAACAAAGAACTGAAAAGTGATAATAAATCGTACATAAACAAGGCTAGGTGTGGCTGAGGTAGATTAAGACAGATATTGAAAGACAGATTTGAAACAAAATGGCCGAACTATTTTCAGGATACTTGCGGTCCATACGATACCTCCTGTGACATCTCAAGTGAAGAGGGGATCAATTAAATTACTAGAGTAAAAGGATTGTTGATGATTACAGGATTTTTAAGTTAATCCACTGTAAACTGCGAGCCAGGCCGTAGAAGAGGAGGGAAAGGGTCCGGCAAAATGAGGCTGCCACGCAGGCTAATCCACTGGTCAGATTCTGACGACGTCCTCACATGAGGTTTGATAATTGGAATAGATGTTTGTTTTTAGTTCTATAACGATTGCATCATTTCGTTCGATTTTATTCAAAACCACCAAAATAGTAACAGGGACCCACCTTCCACGACAAGACTCGTTATTTTCTGATCCTGTCCCAGGGCACTTATCGCTTCACAGACATACTTTCCTGTGTCGCTGTAAGATAAATTCGCTATTTCAAGTCTGCCATCACTTGTAGACAGTAGTTTTTCTCCAAGTGACTCATTAACTTTGCTCCAGGTCACTGCAGGCCTTGGATTTCCAGTGGCTGAGCAGTAAAATGTAGCGGTCTGGTTCTCAGTGACTGTTTGAGTGACAGGTGATACAGTAACTTCTGGAGATGAAATAGATTCTCCAGGATCTCCCTTCAATCCCATTATCCCCCGCGGACCAGCAGCGCCTGTTAAGATATAAAAATGGTTTAAACCTATCAGAGAAGCATTGACCGAGAATGGATTACCCATCCTGTGTTCTTTCCACAATGTAGATTATTTGGGAATATAAATGAGACCGATCTTATAAAAGGCAAATTTGCTCTCACCTTCGCCTGAAATAAATGAGGCTTCCTAGATTCCAGGCAACGCGGTTAAGTTATTATCAAAATATTCCAGAATTATTTGCTATTTTTCAGCAAACGGCAAGGCTCAGCCTTGGCAATGTGCATTATCATCAGTTTAAATCAGTTAGACGAGCTGCAAGATGGATAAATGTATCCCATAGTGACTTATTAATTGAGCTGATAATGAGAAAACGATCTTTCCCTCAATCCGGGTGAGAATTATAGATTTAATATTTCACATTTCAAAATAGATTTGTAAAACCCTTCTTTCTCACCTTTATCGCCTTTTTCTCCTTTTATTCCTTGATTTCCCATAATTCCTTGCTTGCCGTGTCTACCTAGTAATCCCATGATGTCTTGCACTCCTTTTTACCCTTGGTGCCTTGCACTCCTCGTCTCCCTCGGGAACCTTTACTTCCTTTCTTACCGGGAGGGCCTGGGACACACACTTTCTTCGATGGCTGACACAATGTTACTGGTTTGAGTTTATTGAACTGTTTGGTGATTTCACTACGGACATCTTCTATGGTGAGAGATTTGTTACTGACTGAGATCAAGCTGCGACGAACCTTGGTGTTTGTTGTTTTTTCGGAATCTGTAAGAAACAGGAAATTGGAATGAAAATTGTGTTTCTCTAGGCTACGCGCAGACCTTTCCTTTTAGGGAAATAGTCGATGTATGCAAGTTAGCTTGTTTGACTCTTTCGATTTTCGACATTAGGTATGAAACTCGTGGCGGTATGCCAAATATTTCACTTCTTTTACCCAGGTAAAAATAAATGGCGTGACAGCGTGACTTACTTAGAGCCTTTGAACTTGAAGGTCGCTCTGTGGTATTAAATAACGAAAAATAAAAGTCACGGTACGTGAAGAACAAATTTCCGTTGTTTTGCTGTCAGTGATACATGACGATCGGTCAGTTTCAGTTTTGCCTGACCAGTAAAGTTTAATAAACAGACTTTCCGTAATTTGATCAGTCACGTATATCAACGTAGAATCTCTCTTCTGCTGAAAATAGATCACAACGAAGAAGAAATTCAGTTCAGAGACATCTCGCTGTAGCCACAAACAGCTTTTTTTTTACTCGAGGTAATTAGCGATCTTAACCTCGGACAAGTACAATTTGTTTCAGAATACGCGACAGCATAATTTCAAGTGTCTAAATGTACTATCCCTTTCCCCGAATAAAGATTAAGAGACATCTAAATGGTTCTGCCATTACTAAATAAACGTACATAATAAATAATAAAACTGACAATCAAGAAAAACAAGGACTTTTACTAATCCTCTGCTGTTTCCATTTCGTTTTTGTAATCTGTTGTCTGCAGTGATTCGGTCTCGACGCCGCTTTCGACTTTCGAAATTCGCAGTTCGTTCATCTGTTTTCCTGTTTATCGATTCCATTCTCAAAAACAGCGCAACAATCAACAACAAGGAAATAAGGACAGAAACGAAGAACCTTTGTAGAGAACGTCACCACATTTGGAGGAAGTTTTCTTGTTTGGTTCCATGATAGGTTCTAATTAATACACAGTTGTCTGAACAACAGGAACAAGCTCGACTGTCGTGTAAACTGAACGTCACGGTTTGATTTCCCGTTTAGCAGCAGTTTCGTGTTCCTGTAGACGGGATATACCCGGCAAAACATACAACTGTAAAGCGAAATTGTTGTTAATTGATCTGTCACCGTTTGGAAGAAACTTTAATCTTTCTCTGAGTGCCAAGAATATCTCGCGGCATGAATGTAACTTTACTTAATTTGATGATCAGTGCCCGACGGGGAGTATTCTGAGAATCCTGTGAGGATCATTGTGAAAAAGAAAAAATACTGAGACTTCTTCGTTTATTACATTACTGTAAACCCCTGACGGAGGTTGATTGAGGGTATAGGTGGGTGGAAAGCCACACTACAATTCTATTCTTATCTCTAGATTTAGCTAGAATTGTTCGTTATGAATGTCATGTCTTCTAATTTAATGGATAGGGAATTTATATTTTTCTTTGTGCGAAAAGAAAGCGGAGAGAGGCCTATTTGGAAGTTTTGTCATCACGGATTGTATATATACTGTGGGTGATGTGTTTGGAAAGTTTCTAGAATAACTAGCCTCGTTATTTTGTTGGCGGATTTAGTCTTCAACGTCAATAGACACTTAAGTTATACTCTAATACAGTAAGTCGTGATAGTTTCCTTTTAGAGCAATTTCGAAAAAAGACAAAAAGCAAAAAAAAAAACAACAAAAAAACACACACACACACACTTCAATTTGAGCTGTGTTGACTCCTGCCATCTCTTATAAACAAGATTGTATATCATCAAACCTACAAGTCTAGCTAGGGACAATCCCATTGCCCTGATCTTAAAAATCTTAAAACCCGTTTCTTATACCAAAACAAAAATGCATGTTTTGACATATTACATACATCCTGACTTGAAATAAATAACATCGGTATATGTCAAGAAAGCACCGCATCAAATAACGAGGACAGAAGTGAGAAACCGTCGTCTATTTTCGATTAATCAGCGATACAGAATGTTTGGTTTCAGTGCCACCCGATCAGTTAGGTTATAAACACGCTTCTTGTAACTCGTGTTCAGTCATGTATTTCTTAGACTACTTCTTTCATTCACGCGCAAGAAATGCGCAAGAAGTTCTTACGCCACAAGAACACGCAAACGAGCGCAAGAAATGAAAATTCGGTATTTTGCGGTTTGCCTGCAAGAATGTTTGGAAACAAGAAGTTGAAAGTTTAAGCCCAAGAAGGCGCAAGAAGTTACGAGTCTCACTGTAAGCCGCAAGAAACGCAAAATGTCAGTCGAGTCCAGATGCATATTTTTTTTTATATATCTCTGTGAGTGCAGTGACGGCGGTACTGTAAATAAATGTCGCGATGATTTTAACGTTTCGTTTTCATCAAAACCTCTTCCATAAACATGCGCCTATACTTGGTGTTTGCAGCCTGGAACCATGGAACCATGACTACATATGAAATCGTCAACATGGGTAACTAGTGTCGCCAGCTTTTTCGCTGACACAGTGTGTGCTCCGGCTGTGAGATGCACATGCCTGCGTGCAGTTACTCAACTTCATGCCAGTCTCTATTGGAATCTTGTATTATATAGCGATCAAAAAGTGTCAGCTTGCACTCACTTTCTGGTGTTTCCATTTCGTCGTTTTTCTGGTCTGTTGACTGTAGTGATCCGATCTGGATGGCGCTTTCCACTTTAGAAATTCGTAGTTCGTTCGCCCCTGTTTTCCTGTTTATCGATTCCATTCTCAAAAACAGCGCAACAATCAACAACAATGAAATAAAGGACAGAAACGAAGAACCTTTGAGGAGAACGTCGCCACATTTGAGGGAAGTTTTCTTGTTTGGTTCCATGATCGGTTCTAATTAACAAACAGTTGCCTGACCAAGCTCGACTGTCGTGTAAACTGAACGTTTGATTTCCTTTTAGTAGCAGTTTCGTTTTCCTGTATACGGGATATGCCAAGACAAGAACTGTAAGGCGAAACGGCGTTATCAATTGATCTGTCATCGTTTGACCAATACCCGCAGTGTTTCTTTTGTCATGGATATCAGATAATTAACTTTTACTCCCAGTATGGTGAGAATCTTGTAGGGGTCATTTAGCCACAGCGTTTTTTAAAAGACCGGCAGCCGGTCAAGGTCTTCGAATCACTAAATGACCGGCAGTCTCATATTTTTCTCAAATGTAAGGAATAAAAGGAACCCATCCAATTCAAACTATCATATGTCGATTAAGAGCCAAGCGATCCAGAGGAGCTGTGTAGATCGCAAGTCTAACGTTTGGTTAAAGCTCGGCTCAGAGAGCGAGGCCATGGTTTGTGACACTTAGGAGTTTTTTTGGGTCGACTGCCGGTCAAGGTTTTCAAATCACTAAATGACCGGCAGTCTCATCTTTTTCTCAAATTTAAGGAATCGAAGGAACCCATCCAATTCAAACTATCATACGTCGATTAAGAACTGCAAAGCGATCCAGAAGAGCTGTATAGATCGCAAGTATAACGCTTGGTTAACGCTCGGCTCAGAGAGCGAGGCCATGGTTTGTGACACTTAATATTTTTGGGGGGTCGACTGCCGGTCACGGTATTCAAATCACTAAAAGGGGTGGCGAATGGTAAAATCCGAGACTTGCCGAGACGCCGAGACCGTTGTTTAAAAATTCGAGACCGAGACTTAAACGATTTCGGAAAATCCGAGCTCGAGACTCAGTGCAGAGAAAACCGAGCCCGAGACCTTAATTATGAGACGTGAGATCTCAGTTAGGGAAGTAGTCAAACTAATATACAATCAATAACTTGTAGTTTATTTGAACTACCAAAATAGCAGTCACAGATAAACGCTAA